CCAAAACGGGGAGCAAGACAGCGGGGAGTGTGCTACACTCTGACGACCAAGCAGTGGGGACTGTCACAAACAGAGTCGTCTGTGGCTCCCCTGCTGTAACGTCTCGGCCTCGATGCGGGAGCCAGGAGCCGCATAAAGTGACGTGGCTGCGTCCGCCAGAGGTGATCGCCAGATCCGGGGGAGTATTCTTAGTGATGCGCCTATCGACAGGGGGCCGGAGACAGGAAAAAGTTCGATCGAAGCGCCATCGAAGTTCGAGATATACACACTGCAATGGAGGGTTCGCGAGACGCGGTTGTTTCTAGAATTCTGGAACGGCCCGAGGATCCGCAGTTGTCACTGTGGCTTGGCCAAGCATGGACTTACTTGTACAAGTATGATCTCAGCCTGGGCAATTGATGTTTGCTTTTCAGGACTAGCCATGGAATGTGGGTGCGGGAAGAAGTGTTGTCTTTTTCGGGCTGATGAGAGCGCCACAGCTGAAGCCGAATTTTACCGGGATGGGAGGGCTGGCACCGGGCGAGTTCGCGGTCCGCAAGCCACCTGCGACGTGAACAGATAATCCACACCGAGACACCTGCATCGGCTTTGGTGAAGGGATTTGGCGGCCACATGGCCCGCTCACGAGAGCAAGCCCTCGAATCTCGTAGCCTTGGAAGGTTTAGCCCTGGTGTGCGCGCGTGTTGTTGCTGACTCTGCATGAACAGCGTCTCGCCGTAGCCAATCGTTGCATATTTTGAGATCGGTGCATGAACCCGCACCTCAGTCTCGCATTGCCCAATGAGTCCGAGGCGCTCCCACACGTTGAAACCCGCACGCTTCAACTTCCATGATGTTGCGAGTCGAGCTCCCGGAATCGGCCTCATTGGGGCCAATATAGGAAAGGCTGAGAATTGCTAGGGCGGCCCTTGGTTGTGTAACGAGTCCAATAGCCACCTGACATAGAACAGAACTGGAGCGCAGGACTCGGCGTTTCCTCCTGATCGCGTGGGATGTGGGTTGATCTGCCCGGCCAGCCAACTTTTCTTTTCTTCGCGAGGCCGGAAGTGACTCTGACCATCGTGCGTGACGGGTCACCTTTTTCGGGGTGGACTAAAAATGGGTTTGGGTGGTGTGCAAAAAAAAAATCGTGGTCTGTCCCAAAAGGAGAACTGGGGGCCAGACATCAGAACCCTGGTCCGGATTGCTGGAGGGGGTGCCGGAGGACCAATTGCTGGGCCTTGTTCCCAGGTGTTCCTGCGTCTGGACCCGCTGTCCTCTCAGGGGTAAAGCGGGCCCTCTCCAGGATGGGTGGGGTTGTGAGACAGTGCCTCCGACACGGTGGGCACACCAGGCGGGATCTGCCATCAGTCTCGACCGAAAGAACCGGAGCTGTGGTTTTGATATCCGACATAAGGTGCATTGCCGTTGTTCACTCGTTATCGGATCTCAGCCTAACTTCTTTGGTGTTGCTTCCACCAGAACATCCAGCACCTACCTGTACGAGGCAAAGCGCAGGGGCTGGAGACACGGCTGAATGGGACGTCGCGCACCACTCCGTTCGTGACGGGGCGACAGGTTGGGTCGCATCAGCCCGACGCAAGGGACATGGTTGGTTCGCAACTGCAGTGTCCGACCTGCAGCACCACGGAAAGCCTCGACCGGCCCTTCAGCGCTCCACGGCCGCAAGGCCCCGCGGACCGAAGGCCACCGCAAGGGCGAACACTGTGTACTGTAGGACGCCAGTGGCACGGTATGTTCTTGTCTTCCGCACAAGGTGGGATGCAGCTTGGCACCACCACGGGAAACATCAGATGTCTTGTGCCATAGGAGGTGGCAATGCCTTGCCAATGTTTGTCTCCTCAAGGGGTGCTTCCTCGGCCGGATTCTATGTATTCGTATACCAGTCGTACGCTGGCACCGGCGAGGCCAAAAGGTGTCGCATAGCTACCGCGTTTGTGCCGTGCACGTATTTGTGTTGGGAAGGCAACTGTCTGCCGTCGTGAGCGATCTCGTGGGGCTAGGCTCTTGTTGTCGAGCTTGACAGAGACTGTCGCACTTTTTTTGGATTTAGCGCTCCCCCTTTTTTGCCCCCGTCGAGACCGTGGAAGAAACGAATGCTCGCTCGATAGCTGGCTGGTCAGTTATCGAGAATCAGCCAGAGCAAAAAGAAAGTCCTCTTGCCTGAAAAAGTACGAGGTTCAAAAGGAAAAACGAGAAATGAACAGACTAGTCCGAATCCAACTTCGCCAGAACCCGACGGCTTGGTCACTGTTTGGACGGCAATGATCGATGACGAAGGCCGGCCTCGCTGTCCCGTGGGATTCCTTGTCGCGGAGAGGATGGCAGCAGAGGGCGCCTCAGGGCACCATCCTGGCCCTGCCAAGCCAGGGGCAAGCGGGTGTTCGGTCCACATCGATGTCGCGGCGCGTGCTGGACAGGCTGCACAACCCGACTCGTGCTTGCCGAGAAGCGGCATTTGAGCGCCCATCAGGAGGCTGTGCATGCGTGCCCTTCTCGGCGATCGGATTGACCATGTCGGCAACTGGGGGTATCTCCAACTTGTTGGAGTGGATCGGGGGAGAGTGGGAGACCATTCGCATGCGCTGCGAATCAATCGAGGCCGACGACATTCCAACGGATTCAAGGATTTCGAAGGTCCGGATGTGGCATGCGATGAGCCGAGTTTCCGATGTATATTGTAACTGAATTTTGTGGAAAAAAAAAGTTACGATTTTTTTTCTTCCTCTCTCCCTGCCTTATTCAAGGCAGCGACTGGTTTTGTAAGAAGGGTTCTTCCCACATGGTTCACCAAGATCGGATGGTGAGAAAGAAGGGGCGGGAATTACCGCGGTGCACGGCCATGATTGCCGCTGCGTGTCCCCTCTACCGGGCGAGGCGCGTGTTCATCAGATTCATGCAGCATCGTCCCGTTGCCCGAAACTCCAGAGCTGGACTGTTTCTAAGAAGTGACGGTCAGTTTCATGGTTTTCAGTGCGCCCACCCCCCTTCTCCCCCTTCTCCCAGCTTCGGCAAACGCTGCTGTCAGACCCCAGTCAGGGACATCTCGACCGAAGGTGACACAAGCCGTTTGGCCAGGAGACACATGCCCACCTATGTCGCCGCCCCCAGCGACCGCTTCTGCTGGTCCCTATCCAGGGACCCGCTCTCCAACGGCCGCAGCTCAGTACCGTCCAAATTTTTGTCTGTACTGATGTATTCGTACTGTCTAAAAAGAACGCGCCCGTGTGCTCTGCAAGGCTGCGATGGGTGGCACGAGGGGCAGCAGGTTCGCAATCCATCCCGTTTGGACTGCATGTCAGCTGCAGAGCAGCGCTGCGGTGATTGGGCACATCAGACGAATACCCAGGCGTTCCCCTTTCCACACAGTTAATCGCACCGTATGGCTGTTCCACGGCGCCTGCTAATTCGCTGTTCTGCCCGTTGGACTGTGATGCCTGAGGGTACCAGAAAGCGCTTGACGGCAGGGACCCCATGGACCCGCCCAGTGTGGGAGCGCCCACTCGGGTCCGCTGCTCCTTGCTCGTTTTGCTTTTCCCTCTTGAACCCCCCATGTCCCCGTTCTTGTTTTTCCCCCCTAGTCTCTCTTTTTGTCCATCTTCGATCGCCTCACGTCGTCGTCTCCTGTCGACCGCCTTTCCCCTTCCTTCCCCCCACTTCTACCTTCGCTTTTCTCACCACAGTCACTCCCTTGGAATATCCATTCAACCAATTTATCGGAACCCGTTCATTCTTTCCGGTTTCCAATTCACCTCATTTTTGCCTTGCGTGCTACATTTTTCCAGGCAGCGCCGACTGTCCAACCCCCCCTTACCCACCACACCAACTAACCCAACTTTTCTGTCCGATCATTCGCACAGGACGACACTCATTTGAAACACAGCACATTTTCCCATATATTATTCGATCATTCTTTCTCATACTCGTCCGAGTTCGTTGAACCCCGACACTCCCGAGCCCTTGCGGCGTTGGCGTCGACAAACTTAGCACACCGCAAACCCGACGCGGTAGTGGCAGGAGTATTTTTACGCGAGAGGAAGGATACTAGTATTTGGAACGACAAACCAAACCTCGGCGCCAGGCAGTACACCAGCCCACAATGGCGACCGACGTGGTCAAGCACGAGTTCAAGCAGGAGTTCAGGGATGAGTTTCATGAGGACATCCAGGAAGAGGACGGATTCGCCGCCTCAGCATCGTCCATGTCAGCTTCGCCGTCTCCCTGCAAGTCCCCTCTTCCGACGCCCAAGTCCGGCACTCCGAGCAAAATCATGAAGTCCCCCGCCCATGGATCCAAATCGCAAGGCTCCGGGTCCAGGCGGCCGGCCCGCAAGAGCACCCTCACGCAGCAGCAGAAGAACCAGAAGAGACAACGGGCAACGCAGGACCAGTTGACGACGCTTGAGATGGAATTCAACAAGAACCCGACCCCCACGGCCACTGTGCGCGACAGGATAGCCGAGGAGATCAACATGACCGAGAGGTCTGTTCAGATCTGGTTCCAGAACCGGTAAGTCCAAAGGCCGCCCCCTCCATCTTGAGAGGGCTTTTTGCTGACCCCACGCAGGCGCGCCAAGATCAAGATGCTGGCCAAGAAGAGCCTCGAAAGCGGCGAAGACATGGACTCCATCCCTGAGTCCATGCGTCAGTATCTTGCAATGCAGGCTATGGAGTCGGGCAAGAGCATCCCGGGCTTCTTCGGTCGTACCGGCCTCATGCCCTACGGCCACCAAGGTATGATGGGTGGCGAGCAGTCTGGGCCTGGCAAAGTTTGTAAGTGACCGCCGATGAACGCGCAACCCAAGGGCTTGTGCTAACTTGTACAGTGATTCACCACCTCAGCTGTCGCTCCCTGACCATCGGCAGGTGGATGCGGGTTGGTCAGAACGCGATGGATTTGATCATTTTCTACTCGCCTGACAAGTGCACGATGACCTACTACATCAACAACGACCAGGCCGGGTACAAGATCGAATACCCGTTTTCCTACATCAAGAACATCTACTTGAACAACGTCGAGGGCGGTGATCAACTTGGCGGCATCACGATTGAGCTCCTGAACTCGCCCAATTTCTTCATGGACTCATCGACGACTGCGACCTTCATCCAGGTCAACGATTTCACCGAGGATCTGCAAGCTTCCCGGGTGCTGACGCATCACCTTGGTGGAAACCCAAAGGTGCTGAGCGGCCAGCTGGCGAAGTTGGTCAGTTTGGAAGCTTTCATTCATCGTCACAGTGCGCCTGCGCCCGTCTTCGACCAACTTCACCCCATGTCCATGTCTGCCCCGGTTTCGCCGGCACGACCGTCGTCGCAACCCAACTTCGCACAGCCACACGTGGGCATGTTTCAAGAATCGCAGTGGGGTATTGCGCCTCATCACCACCAGACCATGATGATGCGTGGCCCAGGCCACAAGAGGCAGCGCAGCCGCAGTGTACCGGGTCCCATCGACTTCCAGACGATGCAGATGCTACAGCACCCCCCGAGCTTCCACATTACGCAGCCCGAAAACCAGGCGCCGACTCACAACCCCCAGATCTTCAGCCCGGTGCCCCAGCAGCCCAACATGCTGGGCCCTGTCGGACCCAACCTGCGGATCGATACCCGGGCTGGCTTCGGTGCGTTGGACATGCGAGCATATCCGCTCTCCGCGACAACGGCCCCCTCGCCGTCGGACTATTCGAGTCCCAACTTCTTCGCCAGCCAGGCACCTGACAACGGTGGAATTTCGGCACCCAGCTTTACCCCCTACAGCGGCACGTTTTCTCCTCTGGTCAACCCGGCAAACCTGGGCGTTCCTCCACCGTCGATCTCACCGCTCTCGTTCAACCACCCTGACCCGGCGATTGTGGGAGAATCACCGCCCATGTCGATGCCTCCGATTTGCGAGGGTTCTGGTATCTCGGACGACGGTGCCAACCTGAACGACATGTACCAGACCGGAAAGCCGACCATGACGCTGCCGATGCATCCGCACTCACCGTTTGTGGAGCCAAACCAAGCCGACATGGAGCTCAACCAGTTCATGGATTTGAAACGCTTCGATGCGGAGCAAGCCTCGCTCTCGCCCGAGAGCGTCCAAGCCCAGTAACTGGGGGGGAGCGATCACCCGCTTCTCGCCTTGTGCTCTACAAATCTCACTCGGGCGATGCCTCCCGACTTGGCTCTCGACAAAAGCATGGACGGCGTCATGACGTGCAATATACCCCATCGAGAGTTGTTTTTCTTGGCTCGAATTTTCCTTGCGGCGTTTAAAGGGTCGTTGTATATACCAGGAAGCCTGTTCGGGTTGCCGTCTTTTCTCTTCCTCTGCCCCCCTGTCGACCAACCCAAGGCTGCGACAGTATCCAACCCATCTCCGATTCATCAGCAAACAAACAAATACCTCTTCAGTCCGACTTCGTATCGCAATTCATCCATCAGCCACGAATATACCATGACGATATCCCGCCATTTGTGCTCCCGCTTGGCACAGTGACTCGGGATTTCCCGTTTCTCGTTTTTGTTTTCGCCCTATCTCTCGCAATTGCTTGCGTTGTTGTTGTTGTTTTTTTCGTTTTTGCATGCGGATCTTCTCCGCCTGCCGCTATTCCTAAGGGCGCACATTACTCGACGCTCACCGGGAAGAAGCCTTTTAATATCTATTCCCTAGTCGTTGGCGACCTGGTCTCCCAAACCCCACCCGGAGAGGATCTCTAGAGAAAGGAGATGGGATGTTTCGTTGGCTGCGGGAGGAAGGATGAAAGGCGAAGGAAAGCCCAGGAGGCTTTCCTTTTTGGGGTAATGTGTTTCTAATTTATCTTTGTGGGGGTTTTGGGAGCATCATTTGCGTTTCGCAATAACTAGGGATGGTTGGCTTGGTGGAATTTGGAGTTTGATATCTGGCTTGCCATTGTTTTAGGGAGCAATGAATGAGAACTGTGAACGGTGATGATGTCCCTTTCTATTACGTGGTGAGGAGGCAGGGTGGACTGTCGAGGTGTGAAGCAAGTGAGCATGTCAGTTGACTCGGGGCCTTCTCTGCCTAGTGACTTGGAGCTGGGTGTGAAGTTATTGCTACTGCTAGCCTGGTTATGGCTCAGCGCAAGGCTTGATGGAATCACGACATCATTGAAGCATCTCGCCGCGCTTGCCACCTCTGTAAGATTGGCTAAACCACAGGGACAGCTAGCAGTTAACCATGCTTTGAGGGAGAGCTGATTGATGCGGCGCTCGGGTCGTGCCAACTCAAAGACCAAGGCCACCAAGCCGGTCACGGCAATTGGGTAGCGGGGGCTACTTAACAACCGAGCGGCGTAGACGTATGGGCGCGGGTTGTATTCGCTCCATCACTTTGCCGCATTCCACAAAATGATTGGGCAGGAAATCTGGTGGTTGTCGCTGGGTGCTACATCCACCACGCCTTGTCTTGGTGTTTTAAAGTTGGTAGGTGGAAGTCTGAGACTCATCAGGCATGAGGAGAGCTGAAAGATGGGTGGATCACGTCGAGTTTGTCGAAGGTCCCCCGACTAATGGGTGACACGTGTGAGGTGTTGTCGGCTAGCTGAAACATAAATAGAACATAACACCAACGTGTTCCAACTCCAGCTAGCTTCGAACCGGGTTGACGGGATCATCGTAGATTTAGAGTCATTTTGGGATGTGGAGAAGAAGGTCGAGAAACGGCAGAAGGGTAAGTGGCCGACTTATATAGAGTTTTGACGTCACCTTCTGTCAAGGTTTGATTTTAGGATCGTCAGATCGCCAGAACAGCAAAGTGACCATCCCAAGCTATCTCGCAGCATGTCTCTCCGTCGTCGGTCGCGGGACGAGATGATCGGCTCAGATCGGCTCACCGTCATCTTTCTCAGCTAGCCAGCACTCGTCGAAACGGAAAATCAAACTCACCGGCCTCGCCCTCAGTCTCCTCGAATCCTTGACCATGCAGCTCCCATCCGTCCTCCTACCGGCTATCGCGCTCCTCGCGCAGACGGCTTCTAGTTTCCTGCTATCATCGCCCCATGACACAGTCACCTCAGAGGACTTCGCCAAAAACCAAGGCCTGCGTATTGGGTTCTACCGGTTTAACACAGGCCCAACCGCGGCATTCGTGTTGGATGACGACGGGAACCTGAACATGAAGTCGCACCCCCATGTCGCGTTCTTCGACAGAGGTGGTGGTTTGTGGCGTTTGGAGTTTGGATCGCCCAACGTATGCTTCTCTTATTTCTTCGCGGTACTCCATATGACGTTATGCTGATGTATGTCCAGACTCCCGGTGCACCAAAATCCATCAAGGGGCCATTTGCGACGGAAGGTGGGCTCTTCAAATACAAGGGCGAGGGTGGATTTGAGTGGTACTTGTGTAATGACGGTTCGTCTGGTTTGGACATTGTACTAGGTGCCCCGAGGCTTGACGTGGAAACCAACGGTTGCATTGCGGGTGTCGACCTCATTGTCGAAGATTCGGTGTAGATCTGCTACGGGTTATGTTGCGTGGTGTTATAATATATCACCTCTGGTTCGGTTTCCTACGTACACTTTCACGGTGCCCCATAGGAGGGATACCCAGGTAGGTATGCACGCATGTATGTCCTTCGTCCCAAGAAACCTCATTTTACGACCAAGTAGGCGATGGCTTTTGGCGTTTTAGAGTCTGAGCGCGGCGGGGTACGCTTCTCCCATTTCTACATGGTACCACATACGAGGTTATACTGAATATCCAGGAGCCCGATAGATGGTCGATTTTGAGGCGGCCATTTTCGATAATAGATGAGAAGCTCGTATACAAAGGCCCGCAAGAGTTAATATGGTTCTTGTGTGGTGAATGGTGATTCATCTGGTGTGGACACCTAGGTATCCTGTTGGGTCACTCTTCGTTGGAGGGCGAGGGTTGCATTCGGAATGTCACGATGGAGGCCGTGGAGGCTGGGTGAGGCGTGTGATATGTCACGTCTGGTTCAATGTACATACAGTCTGTGCTTTGTGCATACACCACGTTGTCATGGTTATCACATTTATCACGGTTATCACGGTTATGAAGCCGTACGGTGGCATACAGCAAATAATATTCAACTGGTTGTTTGCGACTATTGTCCTCGCCCTCTTGTCTCCTAGATCACGATGTGACATGCCTTGTATCTGGAAAGTACCCGTGGACATCACCGTACAAATACATGGAGTCGATGTGACAGGCAGCTTGAGGTATGTAGGTAGGTACGTAGTGCGCCCATTTATGGTGGATAGGTCCTCGGTCCAGATTTCTCCAGACTGCCCGAACTACCTACCTGTACCTATCCACCTACTCCATTTCGATGCAATTAGATGGGCATGTTCCGTCTAGGCTAGGTGACGGGGTGCCAGGTAGTTAGTTCGTCGTGCAAACCAAGTATATTCTTTCCCCGAAGCGCCCCTCCTTTCTCCTGCAGGGCAAAGCAACCCGGAAGCCACTTGTCGATTGAAAAGGCGCTGTAGGGAATTTGAGGTGTGCGCATGGCCCATGAACCAGGTGCTGGCACACGTGTGGCATTAACTAAGCAGCTAAGGTAAGGTACTTCGTACCCAGATCGGAGACGGAGGGGCATTGGGCGGTCTCTCCGCCCCCACAGCCACAATGTTCCAGAGTGCGACAGGCTCTGATAGGCTGTGGGACCCACACCAGGACTTCAGCCGCTCGACAGCCGCTTCGCCGGCTCCGAGTCGACACATTGTGCATGCGTATGTACCCACTCCTGCGACTTGAAGCCACCCACCTTGATCCATGGCCTGCCAACTTGGCGACAGACAAGCCAGAGTCGCTCGTTTCAACTTGTTTCTCTTTTCCCACCTTCCACCCGATTATTGTTATTTTCGTTTCGTTGTGTAGGTGTTTTTTGTCCGACCTCGAAATGCAGCCCGAATACCAGAACCACTTCTCTCGCTTTTCCCTCGACTAAGGTACTTTTTTGTTCGGCCCGGAGGACTGGGGGTGATTTGGTCCGGTGCCGGTCACCTGGTTAGTTTCGCGGCATGGCAGACAACAGCCAGGGAAGTGCTGCAGAAGAGCTACGCAACCGGCTCGAGAACATTGAATTGCGCCACCAAAGCTCGAGCTCCAGCTTGCCTTCGAGCGCTGGCGTCGCCCGAGGAAATTCGCAGGCTGGGGAGACTCGAGAAGCACGCTCACGTCCAGCACTGAGACTCCATCCTGCTCGCGCCGGGGCTCGCGCCCATAGTTTTGATGGCAGCAGGTCGCCCCACGCTCGGCAACCTCACTCGCCGTTGCAAATCAGAACTCCCGAGCTCTACACCATCCAGTCGCACACGCTGCCGCCCCCGCCGAGGCACGACGGCCCTTCGACCGCCCCTGCGGTCCCTGCTCGCCTTCGTCTGGAAGAGCCGAGGATTTCGTTGACTCGCCCCCGCCAGACATTCGACGAATTGCGAGACAACATCGAAATCTCCGCCGATGTCGAAAAGAGCACTGCCACGCTCCCGCAGCTTGGCTGGAGCGGGTGGAAAAGGGATCGCAAGAGGGGGCCTGCTAGCCGCCCGTGGGCCAAAGCCCAGGCGGCTGCCGAGAAAGCCTACAACCGGTACATTGTGGAGGGCTTGTTAAGGCAGAAACCGATCCCACCGAGCCAAGATGGGAGGCATATCCCTCTGAGGCCGGGGCTGGCGAGACGGAAACCGCTGAAGGACGAGCGGACGGGCCACTCCTACGTGCCCAATCTCATCCGGTCGAGCCGATATACTGTCTGGAACTTTCTGCCCAAGCAGCTGTTCTTTCAGTTCAGCAAACTCGCCAATTTTTATTTCCTCATCATTGGTATTCTGCAGATGATACCCGGCCTTAGCACAACGGGCACCTATACGACAATCGGACCCCTGATCGCATTTGTGGCGCTTAGCATGGCAAAGGAGGGATATGACGACTACCGCAGGTACAGGCTTGACAAGCTGGAGAATAGGAGCTCGGTTTCCGTGCTGGACCCGGAAGGCACCGTCAAGAGCGAGCCGAGGATAGAGCGCCGCACGCCTGGGAGGTTCTTCAAGAGGGAGAAGCCAGCGATCGAGTTGGAATCCGCGTGTGGCGAGGATGCGGAGCTCGGGCGGTGGTCAAAGATAGAGTGGCAGGATTTGAGAGTGGGGGATATCATTCGATTACACCGCGACGAGAACGTGCCCGCAGATATCGTCCTACTTCACGCAACGGGCCCGAATGGCGTCGCATTCATCGAAACGATGGCGTTGGATGGTGAAACGAACCTAAAAAGCAAACAGGCTTGCCCGCTACTCGCCAAACACTGTTCGTCCATCGCCGGGATGGGGGAGAGCGAGGCCGAGGTTGTGTCTGAAGACCCGAATCTCGATCTATACAATTTCGAGGGCAGAGTCACCATCAACGGCGAAACTATGCCGCTGACACTGAATGAAGTCGTTTACAGGGGCTCGACGTTGCGGAATACCACCTATGCCATTGGGCTGGTTATCAACAGCGGCGAGGAGTGCAAGATTCGCATGAACGCCAACAAGAACGTCCGAGCCAAGGCCCCCGAGCTGCAATACGCTGTCAATCGCATCGTCCTCATGCTGGTATTCTTCGTCATCATCCTCAGCGTCGGCTGCACCGTCGGCTACATCGTGTGGCGTCGCGAGTATCAGTCCCGCGCGTGGTACCTCAACCGTGGAAGTGTACCGCTGGGGCAAATCTTCATTGCCTTCGTCATTGCTTACAATACGCTCATTCCGCTCTCCCTCTACGTCAGTCTCGAGATTGTGAAGCTCGGCCAGCTGTTCCTACTCAGCGATATCGAAATGTACGACCCGGTTACGGATACGCCCATGGTGGCCAACACGACCACGATTCTAGAGAATCTGGGTCAGGTCAGCTATGTCTTCTCTGACAAGACTGGCACCTTGACTGAGAACTTGATGAAATTCCGCAAAATGAGCGTGGCTGGGACTGCGTGGCTCCATGACGCCGATCTGCGCACAGAGGACGAGAAATCTGGCCGGGGCGTGCCGCACAAGGAGGCAGTGGAACAGACCGGAAAGGGCCCGGCTTTGAGCCCTAGGGTTTCGGTGCGTCCAGCCGAGACGGAAATGATGGACTCGTCTCCTGTCGAGGGTCGTCGCTCCCAGAGCGGCCGTCTTCCGCGGACGAGCACTGCTTCGAGATGGAAGTCGTCCGTCCATCCGGCTCAAAACCAGCCCGAGCTCAATACCGAGGATCTGCTTCGCTATCTCGCCAACAAGCCCCACTCTCAGTTCTCACGCAAAACCCGGCAGTTTATCCTCTGCCTCGCGCTGTGCCATACTTGCCTCCCTGAGACGGGAGAAGACGGCGAAATCAGCTTCCAGGCTGCGTCTCCCGACGAGCTTGCTTTGGTAGAGGCCGCGAAGGAACTGGGCTTCCTGCTCGTTGACAGGGCATCGCAGTCCATGACCCTGCAAGTGCGCAACTCTGCTGGTGCAACCATCACTGAGAAGTACGAGATCATGGACGTTATCGAGTTTAGCAGCAAGCGCAAGCGTATGTCTATCATCATCCGCATGCCTGACGGCAGGCTGTGCATTTTCACCAAGGGCGCCGACAGTGTCATCTTGTCGCGTCTGAGACAAAAGCAACTTGCCATCCAGACCGCCTCAGCCGTCGAGCGGCGGGCGAGCATGCGCAGGAGTGTCGAACAGGAGATGGCCCTCCGCCGACAAAGCATGCAAAGCCACAAGCGGGACAGCATGAATATCAGGCGGACGCTAGACCGGCGGGATAGTTGGCGGCGATCTATGGCTATCACCGACGAAGTCGATCATTGGCTTTCTCGCCGCGAGGCTGGGGGCGTGGACGAATCACCAGGCGAACCTGATCTTTACCAGAGCCCCCGCCGCTCCATGGCAGGTGCCCGGTCGCTAGAGCTCGCCCGTCTCGCCGACCCTTACGACGGGATGGTGGACGAGTCATTGGTACTCAACGAGGGCGCCGTGTTCGAGCGTTGTTTTCAGCACGTCGACGACTTTGCCACCGAAGGACTCCGGACGCTCATCTTCGCGTACCGCTACTTGGAGGAGGACGATTATCGAAAGTGGAAGGACGTGTACCTCCAGGCCACTACCAGTCTCGTAAAGCGCCAGGAGCGCATTGAGAGTGCGGCCGAGCTCATCGAACAGGACTACGAGCTCGCCGGTGCTACGGCTATCGAGGATAAGCTGCAGCAGGGAGTGCCCGAGACGATCGACAAGCTCCGGCGCGCCAACATCAAAGTTTGGATGTTGACCGGCGATAAGCGGGAGACGGCCATCAACATCGCCCATTCAGCCCGGATCTGCAAGCCATTCTCTGAAGTTTATATTTTGGATGTGACGCAGGGCGATCTCCAGGAACGGCTCGCCATGACGCTCACCGACGTGTGCCGCGGCATGGTCCCGCACTCGGTCGCCGTAATCGACGGGCACACGCTGTCGGTGGTAGAGGACGACTCCGCGCTTCGCGTGCTGTTCTTCGACCTGGTCGCTAGAGTCGACTCGGTCATCTGCTGCCGGGCATCGCCCTCACAAAAGGCCAGCCTCGTCCGCTGCATCCGGCAGCAGTCCCCCTCGGCCGTCACGCTCGCCGTCGGCGACGGCGCCAACGACATTGCCATGATCCAGGCCTCGCACGTTGGCATCGGCATCTCCGGCCGCGAGGGCCTGCAGGCCGCGCGCATCTCGGACTACTCGGTCGCCCAGTTCCGCTTCCTCCAGCGCCTGCTGTTCGTCCACGGCCGCTGGAACTACGCGCGCAGCGGCAAGTACATCCTGGGCACCTTCTGGAAGGAGGTCGTCTTTTACCTACTGCAAGCACACTACCAGCGCTACAACGGCTACACGGGCACCTCCCTGTTCGAATCCACCTCGCTCACCGTCTTCAACACCATCTTCACGTCCCTCTCGGTCATCATCCCGGGCATCTTCGAGCGGGACCTGTCGGCCGACACCCTGCTGGCCGTGCCGGAGCTGTACACCTTTGGCCAGCGCAACCGCGGCTTCAACTTCCCCCAGTACCTCGGCTGGATGTTCATGGCCGCCGCCGAGTCCGCCATCATCTACTACGCCGTCTACTACATCTACGCCATCGCCACCCACGGCACCGCCCCCACCGACCTCTACCCCGTCGGCACCCTCGCCTTCTCCCTCGCCGTCGTCTTCATCAACCTCAAGCTCATGTTCCTCGAGGTCCATGACCGCACCGCGGTCATCATGGGGGGCATGGCCGTCTCCATCCTGGGCTGGTGGGTGTGGAATGTCCTGCTGAGCGCCCTGTTCCGCGGCGCCATCGGGCCGTATGTCGTGCGGGATGCGTTTCTGGAGGGCTTTGGTCGTGACGGCATGTGGTGGCTGGTGCATTTCATTGTGCTGTCGGCGCTGGTGGTGTTTGAGCTGGGGGTGTCGGCCGTCAGGAGGGCGCTGTGGCCGTCGGATCGCGATTTGATGCAGGAGGTGGAACATGTGCAGGGGGTGGAGGACGTGTTGAGGGAGCATGTGGATGGTGGGGAGGCTGGGGTCGGTTATGGCGGCGCGGGGGTTGATGGGGACGGTAGTGGTGGTGGGGGTGCTGGTGCGGGTGCTGCGCCCGGCGGCGAGGCGGGGGGGGTGATGGGGGCTTCGCTCAAAGACGGTCACGTCCATGTCAGCGTCGGCGTCGGCGCCGTCGCAGGCGCCTGAGCTGGAGACGGTGCCTGGCTGGCAGCGGTGGGAGGGGCAGGCCTCGCAGTACGGGCTTGGCGGTGCGGCGGGAACGCCGGGGAGTGCGCGCCTCACGGGGGAGTTTGTGCGCCGCCAGTTTACGCCGCCCGCGGAGGAGCGCGAGAACCCCATGGAGAGTGTGGGCGCGAAGGGTGAAGGGGACGCGCGGCGGGGTTGAGTCGAGGCAGCGATTTTTTTATGACGGGATGAGATACATTGGATGGGGGTTGGTTATCGTGCTTTTTACTGGGCGCGACGAAGACGTATATATACCATCGTGTATATCTGGGCATTTATCGGGCGGCATGGGGCTTTTGGGCGTCTTGGGCATTTGGTCTTGCATTTTCGCATTGGATATCTCGGCATTTTTTGGGATATTTTGGACTAACTGCATCACATTCATTATCGGCTGAGGCCTTGTCAAAAAGAGGGGAAGATACCCAAGTCGAGAGCAAATATAGCATGGCTTTTTTTTGAGACTGTAAGTGACGAGTGACTGGACCAACAAAACATGAGGTTCGTCAGTGAGAGGAGTGGAGTTGCCCTTGACGGCTCGGCACTGAGGTATGCTTAGGTGCTTGGTCAGGTAAGAGTGAACGAAGCATTAGAGCTGGGTATAAACATATGATACAGGCGTCCAAGTGAAACCCACCTCCTCAGTCCTCATTAACCTTGATGATAACCTTACCGGCGGCATGGCCGCTCCTCACGACATCGAGAGCCTCATGAACTTTCTCAAACGGCCACTCACTGTCGACGACAACGCGCAGCTTACCCTCACCAAACTGCTTGACCACCCGCTCCATCATGTCCAATCCCGGATCCATCATACTCGCGGCTCTCCAGGTCCGGCCGGTGCCACCAAGCCAAGTCGAACGCGGCCAGATGGTGTTGGCAGCCAGAGTCAACGCGCTCTTCAGCAACGCCCGAAAAGTATACTCCGAGTAGTGAATCGACGCGGCGTTGTACATGCCCTCGGGCTTGAGGTACCGCGCACACTGCTTGTACACTTCCTGGTTGCCGTACGCATCAATGATGTTGTCGAACGGCTGGTCACCAAACCGCGTGCCAACTTCCCCAGGCAGGTCCTTGTACTGCGTGTAGTCAACCACCTACATTACCGTCAGCTCAGCCCTACCACCCAACCACGCAGCATAAATAAACAGACACAAGCACTCACCTCATCCACCCCCAACCCCTCCACCAGCCCCCGATTCCCCCCCCGGAACAAACCCGCCACCACCCCACCCCCCCCTTCCAAACCCTCTCCCTCACCCCTGTGCACCACCATACTCCCGACCCCCCCACTCGCCCCCAACCACCAACACCCTCTCACCCTCCCCCACCCCACACTCCCCCACCTGCACATCCGCCGTGCACCCCGCAAGCAACAGCCCGGCCCCTTCCCGCGCCGTCCGCCCCGCCGGCACCCGCACCGCATACCGCCCCGGCAGCACCACCACGCCCTGCAGCCCGCCCACCCCCGTGCGAAGCGTGTAAGCAAAGGTCGGGAAGCAGATCACGTCGTCGCCGGGGGCGAAGCGTGACTGTTGCTGCTGCTGCTGCTGGTCGGTTGGTTTGGTGGTGGGGGGCTGCCATACGTCGAGCACCGTGGCGGTGAAGTCGAGGGCGGGGACGGCGGCCGGGTGGGTGTGTCGGTGGGAGCGCAGAAGGAAGGGCAGGACGGAGAGGGTGACGAGGTCGGCGGGGTTGAGGGCCGCGTGGGAGATGCGTAGGAGGAGGTATTCCCCCCCCGCGGTTGGGGGTGGAAGGGGCGAACGGGGTGGGTGGTGGTGAGGGTGAGGGTTTGGCGGTAGGGGCCGGGGCGGGGGAAGGTCCAGGCTTTGGTTGTTGGTGGTGTTTGGGGGGGTGGGGATGGTGATGAGAGCGACATGGTTTGGAGTGTTGCTTTGGTGCTGTGAATGATTCGGATGAGGCTGAGCCCGGTGATGATTGAGACGGAAGGCTCAGTCAGTATCCTGGTTAATTGGATAGATGTACTGGATATTGTGCGATGACTCTCAGCCAACCTCGAGACGTTTCCAAGATGTTTATCCCAACCGACTACGCATTGAGTCACGATTTGCCAATGTTACCACGTCTCTTTTTGTGTCTGCGCGACCCCAAAGCCGTGGTGGCCGCGTCAGTCGTCCCGCGTTCAGCGGGCCAAGCATGTGGCTTGAGACCAAGGAACCAACCGTTGAGGTACGATTAACCATCGTGTCGCCGTTCAGCTCCTGCAGCTAGCGGTCGCGAATTAAGCCGAAAGGACACTTGGAGGTTAGACTCAGTCACGGGTACAGAATGATGGGGGGTAGGTAGTTATTAGGAGGTTTGGATTATGAGGTGGTATCATATGGATCCGGCCATTTCCGTAGACTTGCATGCCAATTGCAGCTGAAACTAACAAGAGGGGAAAATATGCCCGAGATAGACCCATGGCTCAGTTTCTTCCAGGCAAAGGCGTTTTGGGCCGCGGTAGGCCCCACAGCGACTTCGGGAGTCTTTTCCTCGGTAGTAACCCGAGTCAGTAGAGCAAAGCTGATGCCGGCTTAACTGGGTTCGCCCTGTTTCTTATTCGCCGCACCTGCAACACCAACCTCGGCAGCCCCCGACAGATAGTCCTCCGACTCGCCCAGCTGCTGGCCGCCAGACACCCACCGCTGCCGCCGAGCCTCCCGTCTCTCGGCGCAAAGCTTCTGCAGAGCCGGCCAGTAGACTGAGTGGTCGTAGTCGAAGTCGAGCTTGCCGCTGCTAAACTCAGACCACATCTGCTCGGTCGGCACGTATTTGCTCATGTCCTCGTTGAACTTGAGCTTCTCGCGCGTGTTGGGGTCGATGAAGGGTGTGATGAGCTTGAAGAAGCCGGTGACAATCCAGGGCATGTTGATGATGAGGGCCTTTCCGAGGCGCTCGGGGTAGTGGTGTTGCAGAATGTTCAGCACCTCGCGAGCCTGATTAATACCGGGCGCCGTGTTGGACCGCGACTTGCTCTGCTTGAAGTTGATGAGGAGGGCAAGGGTCTCTTGGCCGGGGGGCATGATATCGATAACCCGCTCCACCATGAAGACCAGATGCTGCACCTGGCGCGGAGACGGTTCCGTATTCTGGCGACCGGGGTTCAGATAGTGGCAGACTCTGGCCTCCTTGTCGTAGCCGAGAATGATCTGCTTGCCGGTTTCGTTCTCGGGTGAGATGTGCTCGGCCGTCAGCTCCTCGACGCCATACTCCCTCCGCCAGGTCAGCGTCTCGAGCAGGCGCTTCTCGGCATCTTTCTCATTCCACTTGGTAGCCCGCAGGTAGCGTAAGAGGCATTCCCTGGTGAGCCAAAACTTCTCGCTGTCGGTGAGCGGGCCGGCTTTGTCCTTGGTGGAGGGGACCTCAGTCCAGGCTTTTGCTTGTTGCAGTAGCCAGTCGTACTTGGTTTGCTGCTCAGCCGTGAGGGCTACCCGTTCTTTGGGGGCGCTCTCGGGAGTGGGAGCAAGCAGCGGGAGCTTAAGAGGACCCGCTGCTGTCTCCTTCTCATGCACCGGGTCAGCGCCGGGGCCTGCAACAGTCGCCGACATGATTGTATTCCGTAGCGTAGCGAGAATAAGCGAACTAGCTGTTGGGCTTTGTGTTGGGCTTAGAGAGGAGAGAATGCTGGAAAATGATCAGCGCCATGTCATGGGAACAGAGGTTAGGTCGGGAGGAAAGGTATGCATTTTATGAAATTTACACACCGCCAAACGCCCAAAGATACGACTTGTTCCGGCTTGCTTCTTTCTACGAAATAAATTCGAATGTGAAAAAATTCGAGGTAAATCCAGAAAATACAGCCGGGCAAAATGATTACTAGCCGAGCCCAACCGCCCAAGGCCCCAGCTTTTCAAGAGCTTGAAGCAGGAAACAGCAAAGTGTAATCTGTAAATTGGCGTTGGGCAAGATGGAAGGTATCAACCAGCCCCTGCCAATTTCTCTGTCAATTTCCCTGTCAGCTCCACAGGCCCCTGCAGGGGCCAGCACATGGCCAACCTAACCGATTCGGGCGACCTGGTATTTTCGCGTTAAGTGCTTCTGGCGCGTCACGTCACAACCGCGTCCCACTAACCAAATATCGAGAACGGACCCCTCCAAGAGATCGGATATTTGGGTATTCGAGAACCGCCGAGTTTCAGCACGACAATTTCACAAACAAACATACCCCAATAACACAATGGCCGACGAAACCATTGTAGAGTTGAACGAGCGGTTCGGTTCGGGGACCAAGGATCTCGAGGCCGATGTGGTGGCAGAACTCAAATCCATCATGGGCATGCACCAGTTGTCGGTGCAGGATTTGTTCTTCAAATGGGAGTCTTACGGCATGAAGATGGGGATGGACGATTTCAAGGCATCCATCGACCATCTCCGCGCATTCAAGCAGAACCTACAGGACGAACTCGTGCGGAGCAACCGGTCACAAGTGCACATCAAGACGGAGAAGCGAGGGGGTGCCACCCCGCGGGTGGCCAAGGGGGGCGGTGATGTATTTGGGATGCTGGATGGGCTTGCAACACCGGGCGCCGGGAGAACCAAGACGATTGGTAGGAGGACACCTGCAGTTTCGCGGGTGAAGGCCGAGCCAACTAGCTCCCCCCTGAAAATGGAAGACCAACTAAACGCCCTGGGCGTAATCCCGTATGTAGCTGTTTCCTTCAAGAGGGCTACCGGTACCTGGCTAATATCCCGTGCCTACACAGTCCGTCATCGTTCAATGACAGGTCAAACGCCGGCGAAGTACTGGAGATCCTCAACGAGAAACTCGAACCCGCCGAACCCCCGATCTCTCCCTTCCCCGAACCCCGTATCAAACTTACGGCCACGTCAGACCAAAAAAAACTTGGCTACAAAGGGCTGGCGATGAAACTATCAGAGGCATCCGAAATCCTGGACGACCGGATAGACGACTTCATCAGCCTAGTGACCGAACACCACAAGCTCGAAGACTCGGCATTCGGGAGCCCCGCGAGCCAAGGAACCGCCGAGATCGTGGCCGTCGGGCGCATCGCATCAGACTCCCCCGAAGGCAAACTCAACGCGGCCTCACTAGTCCTGGAATCCTCAAGACGGTTGGGCAACGGCCTGCGCGTACCCCTCAACCTTAGCAAACTCCAAGGCTACCAATTCTTCCCCGGCCAGATCGTCGCCCTCCGCGGCATTAACACCTCCGGCCGGGACTTCACTGTCCACCAAGTCCTCGACATCCCACTCCTCCCCAACGCCGCCTCCGACCCGGACACCCTCGCCAGCCACCTCGCCCGACTGCGCGGCGGCCCGGACGCCATGGACTCCGACGACACCCCGCCCCCCCCCCTAACCATCCTCTTCGCCTCCGGCCCCTACACCGCCGACGACAACCTAGACTTCGAGCCCCTCCACACCCTCTGCAGCGAAGCAGCCGACATCTACGCGGACGCCGTCGTCCTCACCGGCCCCTTCCTCGACGCGGAGCACCCCCTTCTCGCGGCGGGCGACTTCGACCTGCCCCCTGAAGCCTCCTACAACGCCGACACGGCGAGCATGTCCACGGTCTTTAAATACCTCGTCACCCCGGCCCTCAACCGCCTCGCGGCCTCCAACCCGTCCGCCACCGTCCTGCTCGTACCGTCCGTGCGCGACGTGCTCGCCAAGCACGTCTCCTGGCCGCAGGACGCCTTCCCGCGGCGGGAGCTGGGCCTGCACAAGGCGGTGCGCATCATCGGGAACCCGATGACGCTGAGCATGAACGAGATGGTGCTGGGCGTGAGCAGCCAGGACGTGCTGTGGCAGCTGCGTCACGAGGAGCTCGTGGGGGGCGCGGGCTCCGCGGGGGATGCGCTCTCGCGCCTGAGTCGCTATTTGGTGGAGCAGCGGCATTTTTTCCCGTTGTTTCCGGCTGTGGATAGGAAGCGGTTGCCGAAGACGGGCGCGGTGGACGGGGCGGGTGGGGGCGTGCCGCCGGGGGCGATGCTCGATGTTAGTTATTTGAAGTTGGGGGAGATGGTGGAGGTGAGGCCGGATGTGTTGGTTGTGCCGAGTGCGATGCCGCCGTTCGCAAAGGTATGTTTGACGTTTTGTCGTTGTTTGCTTTTGGTTGTGGCGTTTGCTGACATCGGGTGTAGGTTGTGGACAGCGTGCTCGCCATCAACCCTGGTAGCTTGTCCAAGCGGAAAGGTGCCGGGACCTACGCGAAGATGACGCTCTACCCGCCGTCCCAGGATAATACTGTAAGCGGGGGTATGGTTGCGCATATGATATTCGAGAGGGCGAGGGTGGAAATAACGAAGATTTGATTGCTGCGGGGTGGGCTGTAGTAGCCATGAGGTTTGTGAGGGTATCAAGCATGATATTACAAGTTACATACTAGAGCAGTTTGGAATTCATGGCGCTCCTATCGGGTGTCCACCCGCCGCCGCTTGTCGCTTTCGTACCGGCCCCGATCCCGTTCCCGGGAAGGCGACCGTTTCCGCCGGTCACCGCGGTCTTGCCGGGGCGACCGGGACCGGGACGGGGACCTCGAACGTCTCCTGTCCCGGTCGTCATCACGCCGTCGGTATGAGTCCCTGCGGTCGTCTCCGCGCTGTTCTCTACCCCCATTGTATCCGCCCCTGTCTCGGTCGTACCCCCTGTCCCGATCACGGCTTTCACGCGGCCTCTGTGACCGCTCGCCGAGCGGGATGGCATTCGCACCTTTTGCACCATCACCGCCCCTCTCCCAGTCCCGACGGCGATCATCCGGTTGGAACCTCTCATCCACATTGCGGTCAAGATCCCGCCTCCCCCGGCCATCGTCCAGCCTTCCCCACTGCCCCGTATCCTCGCTCTTGAGATCCCTATACTTGGTCGCACCCTTCTTACCAATCTTGGTCATATCCCTCATCTGCAGCGCCTTGGGCAACAGCTCCCGATTAACATCATCCACGAACGTCGCGCCCGCAATATCCCGCTTATCCAGCCCCGCCGCCTTACTCTCATCCTGATAGAAAGCGCCCTTATGAAAATACTTCTGCATAAACGCCATCTTGCCACGGCCCTCCTTCTCCTCGCGCTGCAGCGCAAGATGGGCATCGTCCTCGGCCTGGCGCTCCTCCTCGGTCAGGTTGCGGCGGCGCTCGATCTCGGCCAGCTCGCGCTCCTTGGCCTCGATGGCCTCGCGCTCGCGCCGCAGCCGCTTCAGCTCGCGCAGCTTCCACGCCGCGTACTCGGCCTCTGGGTCCACGTCGTCCGTGTCGTCGACCCCGCCGCCGCCCTCCGACCCGCTCGCGTCGTCTTCCCAGTGCTTGCGGCCCGCGGCGCGCGCCGCCAGGTCTTTTTTGATTTGTTCTTCGACGAGCTCGTCGGCGGCTTTGCGGCGGGCTTCTTCTTCTGCGGCGGCGGCGGCCTCGTCGTCTTGTGGGGGGGCGGGGGGTTGGGAGGCGGTTGTGGTGGTTGAGGGTGTGGGTGCGGCGCCGTTGTTTTGTCGTTGGCTTTTGGGGATGAACTTGGGGCGCATCATCAGCCGGCGCGGGGCTTCTTCCTCGGAACTGCTCTCTTCTTCTGAGCTTTCCTCTTCGCTGCCTTCTTCCTCCTCTTCCTCCGTCACGAAGCCCTCCTCTTTTGCCTTCTTTTCCGCCTCCAGCCTGGCCACCTTGGCGGCTTTCTGTCGCGCTTCCTCCTCTTCGGCATCTGCTAACCCGACGCCCTTGAGGTTGATCTTGGCGCCGTCGCCACGGCTGATGACGCGACCCGCACCAGCAGCGCTGGCAAATTTGGGCGGCGGTGCTGTCCTCCGGGGCGGTGCCTTTTTGGTTTCATTTTCTTGCTCGGAGCCGCTGGCTTCGGATTCGGATGACGACTCGGCGACTTTGCCAGCACGATGACGCGCTGGCTTGACCGGGTTGGCCGTCATGCGTTTTTGGGGCGGCATTTTGGCGGGTGGAAGTGGAGGTGATGGGTGGTTGGCAGTGTTGGTTTGCGACAGTTGAAGCGAGTCTGGGGTGAATTTCAGGAATTGGCCGATGGACGCGTTTTCGAGGCGCAAAGCACGGACCACAAGCCACCGGGTACCTGAGCCGGTCCGCTTGAAGAATGTCCCTTGGTAGGGATTTAGTTGAGAGAAGATGCTGATTGCATGGGAATGAAAATGTAAATGGGCTCGCTTATAATTTCGAATGGTTGTGGCATTGTATTTCTATGTCCACTAACATTCGGTCACCGAATTACTAGACACATCTGAAGTGTGCAGGTAATGGTGAGATGCGAAGATGGGCCACCCATTCCCGACAATCTTGTTGGTGTCCATCAATCCTACGTATGCCCTGTTCGGTCTTCACTTCCCCATCTGCAGCATCCCAAATGCCCTGTCCAACTCCTCCCCCTCATCCGGCACCGCCATCTCACTCGCTCCTCCGCGGCCATGCCCATGTCCATCACCATATCCATTCCCATATCCCTCCCCATACCCCCTCACCGGCTGCTGCAGCAACATCTCCCCCTGCCCACCACCAATACCCAACACCACCCCCACCACCACCACCCAACTGCCCATCCCCCGCCTCACTCATCATCACCATCCCAGCCCCCACAGCCCCCCCCCTTCCAGTCCCAGCCCCAGCGGTATTCCCCGCCGCGCGCTCCGGCTCCAACAGCCTTGCCTCACTATCCAGCCAGCCCGGGGCCACGCGCCTCTTCTCGGCGAGCTCGCGCGCACGGACGCGCTCGTCGAAGCGCGCGAGGTCGGCCTCGGCCGAGGCGAGCAGCTCGGTGACGTGGGCGTGCAGGGCGCGGCACGACGCCAGGATCTCGTCCGGGTGCGCGGCGAAGCCCGAGGGCGAGACCACGTACCGCGGTTTGGGGGGGTTGGTGTTGTTGTTGGTGGCGGTGGTGTTGGGGGTGGATGGGTCGGTGTCTGAGGGGTTGGTGGCGGTGCCGGTGGTGGTTGTTGATGATGATGCGGCGATGCCTGTTGTGGAGGGGGGGAGGGTCGAGGGCATGGGTTTGTAGCGGTAGGGGAGGGTGGTAGCCGTCGGGAGGTTGACGAAGGGGGAGACGGTTAAGGGGAGTTGTTGGAGGAGGGGGTGCGTGCCTGGGTTGGTTAGTTGATGGGTTGGTTGTGGCGAAGAGGGTTAGGCGGCTTACGATTGTCGTGCATTGTGAATGCGGTGCGTCGTGGTGACGAGATGTGAAGGTATTGTGTTGTAATTCCGAGATGGAATGTGGTGCGTTGTGATGGCAAGATGTGGATGTGTTGGTTATGGAAATGGGTCGAGTCCTGGCAGTCGGATGATATGGGGAAAGTTGCGGGGAGCTTCTCGAAGTCAATTACATCGTGCGAGGATAGAAACCGCCGCTCCGTGCGCCGGCAGGCAACTCGCCCTCATTGCGATAAGGCGATAAGAGCTTGACCCCACCGAAGTTCTCGAAGCTCAACCAACACCCGTCGACGACCCGCCGAGTCAACATTGTCTCGTCAAGTGCATCCATTGCTTGTAAATCGCCAAAATGAGCCTTCAAACGGTTAGGTCTCCGTTTCTCCTGAACGATTACACTGCGCTATCCGTGCACCAGGAGCAAACCCCCAACAGCTTTTACGATGGCAAGCCGGTGCTCCATTACCATGCGACCGGCGCAAAGGCCTGGATCCCCAAGTCGCAGCGGGGCAAGCTGCCCTTCTTCCCAGCCGACCTCTCCTCCGAACCAACACCGCCTGAGAACAGCGCCCTGAACGGTCAGACCGAAGAGAGCGTCGAGCAAAAGGTCGACATCTTCGTGAACTCACAGTATGCGCCGCCACCCCACCCCCCATCCCCCCACCCCTCCACTAACCACGCTCCTCCCCCCAGGAACCTCTCCATCTTCTGCCCCTCCGCCGAATCCGGCGTCTCCATCCCCTACCAACAAATTAGCATCCACGCGGTCAAGACCCTGCAGGACAGCAACCAAACCGCGCACCCGGCCGTCTACCTGCAGCTCGAACTCGCCGAGGGCGGCGCGGGCGACGACGACTTCGACACCCTCGAGCTGACGCTCATCCCGCAACCCAGAGATACCACCACCACCCCCGCCACCCCTGACGCGAGCACCACCACCACAACCCCGCCCAAGGCCGAAACCACGCTGCTCTTCGAGGCCATCTCGGAGTGTTCCAACCTGAACCCGGACCCGGTGCAGGACGGGGATGATGAGGATAGCGACGAGGACGGGGGCGCGCAGATCCTGTTTGAGGGGGATTATGAGGCGGTCGAGGGGTTTAGTGGCGTGTTTGCGGGTGCGAGGGATGGCGGGCTGCCGCCGGCGATGCCGGGGAGTGGGGGGTGGATTACGGCGGAGAATGTGCATGAGTATTTTGATGAGGAGGGGAATTGGATTGGGGGGGAGGAGGGGGTGAGTGGTGAGCTTGGGGAGGGGGCGGGGGTGGTGCATGGGAGAGAGGAGGATGAGGAGGGCGCTGCTGGGGATGGTGCTGAGGCGGCGGTGGAGGGGGAGGCGAAGAGGACAAGGAGGGAGTAGGAGTTTTGTTGGTGCTGGGGCGGATGAACCGTTCGCAGGTCTGGTGTGGGGTTATCTCGTGGGATAGATGTCGACTGGTTGCTTTATCAAAATGAGGGACGAGTTGTTCCCATACGAGCCACTCGAGCTCTTGATCTTCCATACTGATGCTAGTTGTCGCTGGTGAACGCTGGTGGTTTAACCCTAACCCTGTCATCACATGCCGGACCGAACACCAATGGGCCAGCATAACGGGCCGGGGTCGCTGAAACCAACAAAAACCTTCTTTCGCTGACAATTCGCACCTCAGCCTCTGCGTGCATGGCAAAGCATGTGGTCTTAAACCTGCCATTCTCCTTTCCTGGCTTTTCCTCCTAAGTAGCATAGTTATAGTTCCTGGTTTTGCAGTGTTTGTTTCACGACAAACTCTCGGCTTCCGCTGCTGCAACACCAGGGCGTAACAAAAACAACCCAGAAATCCACAGGGGCTGAACCATAAACTTGCAATTTTCCCAAATCTCAGGGGTGTCGCCCTACCCGTCACCGGTTCGTCCCGTCTGATCGCTGCTTGCACCCGCGACATGCTTCCCTCATCCGGAAATGGTCCGTCTAACTGACTCGGTTAGCGACTCTCGCGAACATGACGTCGTGGAACCGCGTGGGTCTGGGGCCGAAGACGCGTCCTCGATCCCGTCCTCGGATCGGGATACGGCCGTCCCTCGGTCTTGCCCTAGCCATTTTCTTCTTCTTGTGGCTAGTCCTGCCGTATGACAACGCCGTGCGGCTGGCCTTCCGGTGGAATGCAAAGAGGCTCAAGGCGGCCTTGTTCTCGCGCTCCAGCGAGCGTTGGGTGTATGCGCACCCCGAGCACCCTGTCGACCTGGGCCAGGATCTGGTGGTGATCGTCAAGACGGGGTATGGCACGCGGGAGCGGGTGCCGGCCTGGCTTGACGCGCTGAGCGACGCGAACGAGTTTAGAGACATTCTCGTCATCGCTGACTCGGAGGGCCACATTGACTTTAAGGACAAATATCACGATAAGGGGTTGCATGTTCACGATGCTGTGGGCCACTCCTTACGGCTTCACTTGCGCCGTTATGAGGATCATCCGAGGGTTGCAAAGTACAAGCAGTTGACTGAGGCAATCTTTAATAATAATGAGGCACTGGCACAAAATCACTGCCGGGCCTTTGGGTGGGAACTGGATGCGATGAAGGTACAATTTGCGATTCCCACTTCCGTATACGGGTCACTTACTAAAGGCTAACTCATTTTGTAGTTCATCTCGGGCTTGGAAATGACCTACCAGAAGTACCCGCACAAGCGATGGTACCTGCTCGTCGACGACGACACCTTCATCATCCAGCCCTCGCTCAAACCACTCCTCGAACACCTCAACCCCGAGCAGCCCCATTACCTCGGCAACGCCGTGGGCGATTTCAAGGCTCGCTTCGCGCACGGAGGATCTGCCGTCATCCTCTCGCACGCGGCCATGCGGATGCTGATCGAGAACCAGCGGGCCCTCGCGTCCATCTACGTCGACTCGCTCGACGAGACCTGGGGCGACCGGCTGCTGGCCAAGGCGCTGCTGAAGCTGGGCATCCACCTCGACGAGGCGTACAGCCACCTGTTCAACGGCGAGCCGCCGCTGCTCAGCAAGATCCGCGCCGACCGGCTCTGCTCGCCCCTCATCTCCTTTCACAAGCTGCCGACCCCTGCGGCTATGCGCGAGGTTGGCGAGTATTTCCGCAACGTCAGCAAGCCCGTCATGTGGAACGACCTGTGGGAGATTTACGGCAAGACGCCGCCGTGGAGGCAGACGGATGGGGCTTTCCACCATAATTGGGATTATGTGGGGGAGCCCGATGAGTCCACACTTGCGATTTCGAGGGTCAAGACGGCCGAGGCGTGCGAGAAGCAGCTCAACCGCAGGTCTCGGAGTTCTCTGGCCTGGTCATGGGACCCTCAAACGGAGACTTGCTATATAAGCCATTGGATGATTCTTGGCCGGGCAGCGCCTGGGCATGTTTCTGCTGTTAATGCCCCGCGGGCGAGATCTCTGGAGACCACTTGCATCCAGTACTGATTTGAGAGTTGGATGGTTGGAGAGACTGCGATATTTCCGGGGTCCTGACACTACTATAGCGTTGTGGCGCCTGGCTACGTGGGATGAGACCGGGGAAGCGGGGGAATGCCGTTAGTCAAACAGTAGGGCCGGCCGTCGTGTGGCCGGTCTTGTCTGAAGCCAACGGCCAGGGCCACACAGAGCTTTACAATTTGGCAGGCAGAAAGTGGTCTCCATAAATCCGGCAGGGAACCAAGCGCGGGTGCTTGGAGTGCGGGCGATGCCGCGTACCGCCTACACCCAAGGACCGCATGGGAAAACCTACCGGGGCCGGACAGTACGTTGTAGAAGTCTCAAGGCTCAACCGGCGGATTACGTGCAACGCAGCTGCCGATTCTTGTTTAGGTTGGCGCGTTGGCCCCCTCGGCGACCGTAGATACTGGCGGCGCAGGTGTTGGTCGGCACACATCCGGCCTCCCTTTAAGGCATCAATTTATACGGCAAGGAAGGGGATACAGAGGCTACAGCGTAATATAATAATAGCGTCGATCGCGGGATTGCAGAGCGAAAGTCAAAAGATGGAATAAATTGATGGATGTTGCTACGAAGTCCTTCGTTCTGAAGTCCCAACGGCTTGTTGTGGTGGAGTGGACCCGCTGGGTAGGCCTTGTCACAGCCCCTGCATCAGGAAGCATCCCCTGCATCCCCTGCCAGCCTAACCTCGAATTTGGGGTCCCAACTTGGGTTCTTTCCTTTCGTCACGTCTCCTTCGACCGCTGCCGCCAGCGCAAATCCACGATGCGAATCCCAGTTAGAATATCCCTCGTCTTCTGGGCAATTGTCCTCGTGACGCTATTTGGATACGCCATTTCGAGACTACTATTTTTCAAGTCCCTCTTCTTCGAGCATGCCGGAATCCGACTTACCCAGCCCGAGGTAGCAACCGCGTCGGTCGACAAGGCCGGTCCTGAAGCCCACCCCCGCGTCCAACAGATCCCGAAACTTGTCCACCATGTCTTCCACAACTGGCGCGTGCCTGGGAATGACACCCTGCCGGCGGACTGGGCCGAAATACGGCAGAATTGCATGAATTTGAATCCGGACTTTGACTTCAAGGTGCGCCCAGCTTGTCCCTCCAATACCTATCGCTGTAGCCTAGATCGACGCTGACATCGGACCATTCCAGCTTTGGACCGAGAAAGCATCGCGAGACTTTATCGAGGCGGAATACCCTTGGTTCTTGCGCACCTACGATGGCTACCGCTACCCGGTTCAGCGCGTCGATGCGGTTCGGTACTTCATTATGCTGTTCTACGGTGGCATCTACATGGACCTCGACAACGTAGGTGCCCTTCTTGCTGGGCTCCCGTCGTACCAATACCATCCAAATGCTGACAGAACTCTTGTTTCAGGGCTGCAAAACCGACCTCACCCCGCTCCTCTACTACCCCGCCTGGGTGACCGACGGCGGCCGCGGCGCGCTTAGCAACAACATCCTCGGCGCGCGGCCGAACCACCCCTTCTGGCACCGCATGACACTCTCGCTGCTCACCTACGACTGGAAGTGGCCGCTGCCCTACGTAACCATCATGTACGCGAGCGGCCAGTGGTTCCTGACGGCCATGTGGGAGGAGTACCACGCGCTGCTCCCCAAGCCGGTCGACGGGCAGAAGTCCGAGCATCGCCTGTACCGCATCATGATGGACATGGCTCCCGGCGCTGATCCGTGGGTCTTCTTCTCGCACCAGGAGGACGGCGGCGGCACCTGGAACAACTGGGATAACACGTTGTTTGCGGGCATCGGCGACCACTTGCTGCTCTTCTTTACCGTGCTGTTTGCCATCGTCGGCCTCGGCTCCTGGCTGGGTCTACGGTGCTTCCGCAAGTACCGCAGGGGTGGCTACAGCCGGCTGAAGAACCGTCCCGGTAATGTGGTTTGACGGTTGGTGTTGGCTGTGATGCGTTCCCGGGTGCCACGGAGTCACCCGGTCTAGCTGGTGTTGAAGATGCGGATACTGGACAGCCGACGTCGCGGGCAAAAGAAATCTTGGACACGGGCTTTCTATCGATGCCGCCACGATCAACACTGAAGCCAAACTCACCGAACTCACTCCCCTAACGTCTAACCGACCTCCCTCCGGTCGATACGAACAGTTCATGTTACTGCTATTATCTCGTTCAGGATACCCCTTTCTTTCATGTTATTTCGAATAACGAATCACATACATCCGTACATTGGACATGCGCCCTGTAGACACGGATAGCTCACTTGGGATGAGAGCACGTGCGCAGTTACAACTTGTAATGAAGATCATAGACGTGGATTTCTGGGCTAGGGACGCTGGAATAGCAACGGTATCAATTCTATCAAACGAAAACGAAAGAAACAAAACAGGGCAACCCCCTAAACACCAAGCCCCAAACCCCCGCAACCGTCCACCAACAACCTCACTTCGTCCACGGCCTCGGCCCCGGCGGGGTGTACTTGTCGAAGGGGATATAGATGTTAAAGAACAGCCCCTTATCATCGTACTTGTAGTCCTTGTTGAAGTCAAACTCCTGATCCGGTACGGCATTCCCATCCCCCGTCACCTCAAACTGCACGCAATTCGGATAAAACTCCGCACCACGATCCGGACGCGCGGGGTCATCCCCCCTCCCATCCGCCATATGCAGCGCAATGATCTCCTGCCGGATCAGGTACTTCCCCTTGGCCAGCGCCTTGGGCAGCTGAAAATCCACCGCGCCCTTGTTCTCAATCATCTTGATGGTCGCCCACTTGCCGCCGTCGAAGCCTTCCTCGGCCAGCTTGGTCCAGAGCGCGCCCGTGCCGCCCTCGGCCGTGTAGTTGGCGATCCACGTCAGGATGGCGCCCTTGTGCGACGGGTCCAGCGGGTAGTCGGCCGGGTCGTCCGGGTTGTAGTGCCACCAGTGGAAGGTCAGCTTGTCGCCGGACGCGGCCTTGACGGATGAGCCGACCTCCTTGCCGCCGGCGGTGTTGCAGACCAGGGAGGGGTCGGCGAGATCCCGGACCGGGTCGTTGGTCGCGGGCGTGCGGATGTATTTATTCACGCCGTCGCCTTGGTCTTTGCCGTTGACGGAGACGCGGAAAACGGTGGCGTGGGCGGAGGCGTGGTGCGCGAGCGCGAGGAGGGCGGTGGTGAGGGTGAGGACCAGCATGGTGGGTGGGTTGGGGAGAAAAGGAAAGATTCGTAAAGGAGTGTTTGAAGGAGTGTGCGTATTGTTGTTTGTCGAAAGGAAGGACTGGAGTTGTGATTGTGAGTGATGCTGGGCAGCTAGGGAGCCCGGGGACGGTGGTCCATCTTATACTTCGTCCCAGGGATGTTGCTGGGTTTCACAGTTCAGAGATGGGCTCGGACTATCATCATATCAGCTCCCTAGGGCAACGGGGGCCGCCCCCCGCCCTGTGCTGCGGCCTCATTCCAGTTCAGTACAATACTCTGCGTCCGATGGACTGGCGACCGTCCGTCGTGGGCTTGGATTAGATGGTTTAATTGGCGTGTGTGGCGGTCTTAAACCTCTGGGCCCGCGCCGCAACGTGCGGGCGCCTTTCAGATGTTTCAAGAACTCCAATGGGATGGGTGTTCTAAGAAGGGAGAGATGAGATGATTCCCCGGGTGATTGGCATGATCTCCGTTATGTGGGGCCGGAGGCCCGGTCTCAAGACCCGAGATATAGGTGGAAACGGCGCGACCCGGCCCCACCAAACAAGGGTAAAACAGCTGACGGTGCCCGGGTTTCGCCGGCCACACCACCAGAGAATGGGGGATGGGGAATTGGGAATGGGTCTGAAAGTCTGATGCCCCACAGGAATGTCAACCCGTCAATTATACCACCACTCAAGTTGTTTGATCAGAAAAACCGCACAGACCCGGGTTAAGGTCCGGTACGGCCTCCGAGTCCGAGCTGGTCTTGTCAGTGGACTACCCAGGTAACACAAGAAGAGGCCACACTTTTGGATCTGGCAAGCCAGCAAATGCCCGGCCCTGAGTGTGGTAAGATCTCAAGAAGAAGCCGGCCGCATAAGTGCTCCTATACCGTAAACGAACCTCATCCATGGCCCCCTGGGTGGAGGATGCTTCCTCGCGGCCATGAAACCAACAACTGCAAGGGCAATGCACAGAGGAGCGCTATTCCCATCAACAAGTCAGTAACAGCCAAATCACGACACCACCTCTCAGACTCCAGAACTCACGTAACAAAAACCCTAACACATGCCCCAGCAACCCCTTTAACCAGCCCTCGGGCGCATGCTTCCGGGTACCTCTTATCCGCATCACACGTCCCATCAGCGAGATGAGGCCCAAGGACAGCCAACATGTAAATCGACACTCCACCCGCCGCAACCCCCAGCATCCCCACCGTGACGGCAAGAATTCCGGTGCCGCCACGCAAAGAAGCAGCGCAGCACCAGCGGAAGCCACAGCCCAATCCACATGGCCTCGGCAATCACCAGTATCAACACCACCGTCCTACCCAACCCATAAAATTAGCACAACCAACCCCCAACCAACTCATCAGAAAAAAAAACCAAAAACCAGAAAAAGCAACTCACACCGGCACGCGCGCCTCCTCCGGCAGCGCCCTGACCCTCTTCCAGTCCCCCATCGCCGACGCCACCAGCCCGACCGCAACAGCCTCGGGTACAAACAGGACGGAACACACCAGCAGCTGGCGGCTGACACGCTTGGCCGCGAGGCTGGAGGCCTCGGCGACGGCGGTGTCGATGCGCGCTCGGTCGTGCGCGACGGAGGGGGGGATGTCTGACTCTGGGGCAACGGAGGGGGTGGGGGGGAGGAGGGGGGCGGTGGTGGCGAGGGAGGTGGTGGAGGTGTAGGTGTGGGAGGTGTAGGAGGTGTAGGAGGTGGAGGAGGTGGAGGTGTAGCTGTGGTAGAGTTCTGGTGAGGAGAGAGAGCTCGATGGTGGTGTCGAGTTCTTTGTTGTGGAGAGTTGAGGATGAGTCCGTGGCTGCTTTGGCGCGTTTGCCCATGTTTATGCTGGTTGGGGCTGGAGGGCTGGTTTGTCTTGCCTGGGCTACGGGATGTGAATGGGGGTTCTGCCGTTGGTGTGCAATGAAGGTGTGCCTGGGCTGGAAATGTTGTCGCGTGAGGAAGCCGCCAGCGGGTTGTCGTCGTCGTCGTGATCTTTGCGGCCATGAGGCCGCCAAGAGATCAGCAGCCAAGCCGCCAAGGTCATCCGCAGGGAGGGAAACTCATGGCGTTTTCGTAATCCCGGGCCATCATTCGTCCATCTGCCTGAGTCGCTTCTCCTCGTTGAAGACTTGCCGTCTTTCCCCGCGTAAACTAGTGTTCAGGGTCTCATACATGTATCGATATCTGCTGAGAGCCTGTGAGGCCCGTAGGCCTAAGCTTGGATGATCAGCACTTGTACGTTAGTTGGTTATATTCAAAAAAGGATGAGCGGTTCAGAAACAATGGATGACTGTGAACTTGGTCATAGTGAAATACTCTAGCAGTCATATTCATTTCTATCATCCCTTATTACTATACCGTACACTAACATCCCTCGTCATCATAATACCATGAGCCGTGTCCTGCTTCTGCAGAATAATCTCCTCACTATTGTTATCCGGCGCGACCCGCTCAGCCGAGTAGTCTGGTGAGTGCCTGCGCGAGGGGGCGCCTTCGACGCTCGTCACCACGCGGCTCTCCCCCGTCGGCGAGCCGCTCTTGGTGTGCAGCTCAAACTCATCTGCGTCGGCGCCCCGCCGCCGGTTTGGGTACTTGCTGCCGATCGTCTCAACCCCCATGGGTGTGCGCCCGCTGCGTCCCCCGCCGCTACGCCCGTATGGCGTGCTCGGGTACGAGTAGCCGACTGAGCTGTTGATCTTGAGGAGGCGGCCGACGAGGGGCTTGAGGAAGGAGGCGCACGCGGCGATGATGCCGATGTTGAGTTGGAGGCTGTGAAGACAGGTAGGTGAGTATGGGAGTTCGAATAGTTGGCGCTATGTGGTTCGACTTACTTTTGCCAGAAATGAACCCAGTAATCAAAGATGGCGTCGGGGTCGCCGCCGGTCGTGAGCATGTAGATTGCTTTGAGAATGCCCATCAGGACAGAGC